TTGATTGCTTTTATCACAAGTATAGAAACGGAGGCTTCGCTTTTAGCCCTGGCTAAATCTATATATTAGATTAATTAAGAATTTTTAAGAGGTTGTTTCATGGAGGCACAAGTAGAAAACAATGTAAAAAAACAAACAAACAAACAAACAAAGAAAAGAAAAGAAAAGAAAAGAAAAAAAAACTTATGTGCAGACTGAATTCAATCACTGAAAAATTGTGGAAGTGGAGAAAATATTGGAAAGAAAGAACTTACTATGAACTGGTGCCCCTGCCGTCAAAAGAGTTATTTCTTATTCTTAGCGGGCTCATTCGTCATAAATAACAAAACTTGCAACATGTAAAACTTTGAATAATCATTTGTCATTGATTTTATCTGGGATTTTGTTACAAGTGGCCTGAATTGAATTATAGTTCACTGCTTTATTTCCAAAACTACAGATTAACTAGATATTCGTGGAATATTTCTACTACTCAAAAGCATTGCATTACTATCCCTCATTCAATAGACATAAGAATCGAATTGATTCAGTTTGATAATTCAGCATTAAATATTGATTTCCAGACATAAACGAGTGTAACGTAGGAAAACACAGCTGTGACGTCACTAGTTCTGTGTGCTATAACACTAAAGGATCCTTCGCGTGTGCTTGCAAGGAAGGTTATTTTAAAGATGGAGAAGATAAATGTACAGGTAAGTAACACTTCAAGATCCCTTAATTGAAACACTCAGATATTTCGTAGCCACGTTTCTTTCACATCAATTTCCTCTGTTCAAAAGTGGTTTTTCACTAGATTCTCCTTAATTTAAGTCTCGTTAATTTCCATAATACCTTTTACCAGTACTGATCCCAGAGCATTATTTTCATGTATTAATAAGTGAGATATATTATTGTAATTCTAATAGGCCATTTTCGAGTTGACTCGAGCTTCTGTCTTAAAACGAGGCGAAGTGCGAAGCCCTTTTGATATGAAAATTAGTTTTAAAGCTTAAGGAGAAAGGTTTGAGGATTGACCTCGTTTTGAAAATGAAAATTGATCCCATGAAATGGCTGTTATGGTAGGCCACAGTAATTGCTGTGAAAGAAAAAGGAAATCAGCTTTGATCATTCAGTGCCTGACTTCTTTTTTGCAGATATAAATGAGTGTAAAGCAGGAAAGCACAACTGTGCTGCAGACGCTAATTGCCAAAACACTAAAGGGTCCTTTGTGTGCATCTGCAAGCCAGGGTATTCTGGGGATGGAGTTAGCTGCACAGGTGAAAACAATACCTCGGTCTTCTTTACAAAGAATCTTTTTCTAATCAACTCTAGTTATGTCGCATTAAAGCCAAGTTCAGCCACAAGGTAATATGAAGCTTAGTCCCTAGAGCTGTAATTGGTTCTTTCTGCTTAATAATAAGTATCGAAATGCCCTTGCATACTGCTAATAGTTTGTGATTTGCACTATCTGTATGCAATTTTAGCCATTTTCGAGTTGACTCGAGCTTCTGTCTTAAAACTAGGCGAAGTGCGAAGCCTTTAGTTGATATGAAAATTAATTTTAAAGCTTAACGAAAAAGGTTTGAGGATTGACCTCGTTTTGAAAATGAAAATTGATCCCATGAAATGGTAGGGTAGGCCACAGTAATCGCTGTGAAAGAAAAAGGAAATCAGTTTTGATCATTCAGTGCCTGACTTCTTTTTTGCAGACATAAATGAGTGTAAAGCAGGAAAGCACAACTGTGCTGCAAACGCTAATTGCCAAAACAATTTTTGATTTTTATTTTATTTTATTAGCTTCGCCTATTACATTATGATAATACAGAAAAAAAAACAAAGAATAATAAATGCTTAATTAGGCAGGGGTGCCACGACAGCGGTAGGCCAATTGCAGTGGTCCCAGAGCTAAAAAAAATATGTAAAAAGCAGTAAAGCTACATATGACAATTAAGAACAACAACGAAGATGGACAAAGACGTCACGAGAAAGATGGTCAGTTCGAGGATCGTGGGTACTCTGGGTCGTAGTTATGTTCTAAGGCATCCACGTAGTACTTGTACATGATCGATTTGAATAGCCTGAAATTCATCCGATTGCTTCGAGTCGTTTTCTCCTCTCAACAACGTCTGAATCGACCAGCCGTTAATGCCGTCCAGTGACGTCATTCACTACCCGAAAACCGGGTAGTGATTTTGATTGGTTGATTGTCTAAACATTCGCATAATTATGTATAATTATGAAAAATTTTAGCGAGATGGTCGCTTGATATTCAGCGGATCGCATCCCTGGCATTCTTTCGTTTAGTTCAAACATTTCGATAAGCTTAATCTTTATCCTAAACAGCAAAATTGCCCTTGTCTTCGAAACTGAAATGCTTAATTGAACTGCGAATGAAGAATCATCGCGGAGAGTCGGTAGGTTTTTCATTTATGCTTTGTGGTTTCGGCGGCCGGTGATTTTGTTTACGCGAAGTTTTCTAGTCGACCTTCTTGCTATTTTTACCGTCAAGTGTAATGATTCTGTTAGCTTTTCTTTCTTGTCTCCTTGTTTTTTTTTCTTTGTTAAGGACCAAATAGCTTCTTTTCAATTAAAGCAAATCATTGTGTTTTTGAACTAAGTGTTCCGTGTGTGTGATTATTTCATTGCGTGATTCACTGATTGCGACCGAGTTTGATTATAGCGGAATTTAGTACAACCGGTTCAGAGTTGTTCTGCATGCAGTTGATAGTTTGAACGTTAAACATGAATTACGATCGAGAAAAATAAAGCAGTTATGTATCATGCAGACATTTCCAAACGATATTTCTCGGTTTGCCACTTGAAAATCGTGTTTTACTTTTTGCATGAATTAAAGCAAAGGTCTAGGAGTAGTGACGTCACTGGACGGCATTAACGGTCGGTCGATTCAGACGTTACTGAGGGAGTAATAACGACTCGAAGTAATCGGATGAAATTCAGGCTACGATTTGAATTGACTGATCTGAAAGTTGAAAGTCATCTGCTAGCGTGTTCCAGATTCTGGTGGTTCTATTAAAACAAGATCTCTGAAAAGAGACAGAATGGCATTTCCCTGAAATAAAGTCAGTGACATTAGACATTATGGTTGCTGTTAGATCAGGTAGTGGAAGTAACTAAGACCTGCGGGAGAACAGAGAAAAGAAAATCATGTCTAAACACCGGTGCCAATCATGAGATCGGTAATAAGTTAAGTTTCATTAGCTTGTCAATATGTGTTTGGTCGCAAATCAATGGTAGATCCAGGATATACTTTGTAGCGCGCCTCTGGACACGCTCGAGCTTTCGAATCAGATCTATTGACTACGGAGTCCAGACTTGCGTGCCGACAGCCAAGATGGGATCTGCGCTTTGCATTTGCTGGGACTAGTTAAAGTTTAGGCTAGCAGAATCTGACCACGAGACCAGGTCAGATAGGTCCTTTTGAAGTCGTTTTATCTTGCACATATTCCTCAAAAAGTAGATAACATCCATCCAGCAATACACCTTTTGCTTTTCATTAAGAGAAAATACGCATTCCTTTGCGTGAAACGGCGACCAATAGCGCGTCCACGTGCGTCTATCACTTACATTCTTGAGTTAACAACATTAATTTCGATTACTGTTAATTTAATCCTGTTGACAAGCTATTTGCTTAGAAAACGATTACAATAATGCAAAGTAGTATTATTTTTTTTTCATAGATGTTGACGAGTGCGCCCGCGGTTCTCACAACTGTAACAGTTCACGTGCTTCATGTACAAACACGGTTGGTTCCTTCAGTTGCTCATGCAATAATCCTTACGTCGGAGATGGAAGAACTTGCATTAATATCCCAAACGGTAAGTCACTAAATAATTAGGAAGTTAAGTTGATTACTTCATTTGCTAGACCCATACACTTGTCAGATAATGTACGTTACTCTAATCTCGATTGAATTTATTTCACAATCTGATTGTGAAATAAATTATGTGCCTTCACTACAATGATTACAGTATTGTATAAAGGCGGAATCTTACAATTTAGTGAAGAGATAACTGACTTAGAAGTTGAAAGATTCACCCTTCTCCCTTTCATTTATAAAACAATGCCCTAAATGCAGTGTGTTATAACTTAAGCTAGTGAACTCCACCTTTATTTTTGACCAAGATAAATTAACCTAAAAGTACGGCAGTCTACTTTTCAAAACTTTATTCTTGATGTTATTGAATGGGAATTTTTCTCTTGGATTGCAACGTTAGACGACAACGACTGACTCTTCAGAACTATTTAGCTATGAATACGCTGCTTCAGTTGTTCGACAAAAACGTTGTATTTTCGTCGCAATTTATTCAAATGAAAGTAATAGCGTCCTTTTTCTTTGTTTGGTTTTTAGTTTTTTCTTTATTTTTTTTGTTTTTGTTTTGGCGCAATATCACTTTTAATTAGGGTTTAAATATTTTTTTGGAAAGTGACAGAAAAGGAAGCTGCTTACTGCAATTTAAATACGGGACCAACCACAATGATAATAATATTACATTTATATAGCGCCATTAGCACTATTTGCTCATGGCGCTTATTTTTTATAATAAGAAGTATATGACAAAAGTATAAACAATTAAAAAGTTTCAAGGTTAATATGCCAGTAGAGAAAAAATAGTAATAACAATTATAAAAAAGTTCTAAATAACTCAAATTGATCTTAAGTCGCGTCAGAAGGCTGTTTAACATCATATTTCGATGCTAGAAAATATTGGTGAATTTTCTCTCTTCCGATCCTGAAAACTAACCTGTTCTTTGACTTCCTGTCTAAATGCAACTTTACCCTAGATTTGGCTTTTTGCGCTATTCTGAATATCTCTAAAACAGCTCGACAAGAAAGCAAAAATCAAAGGCCCACATCACATACATATCTTAAGAAGCAGTTGCTTCATAAACAGCATTCAACATCGCAGGAAACCTTGTTATGATCGTGAAATTCACGTTCCAAAGCGTATTTGGTAACTCTCGCCAAAGTCCAAGACACGCCAGCGCACGATGTCGCGAGGAGTCACTCGAGCTGTATTCTATCCTTTGATCTGATTGGCCAACGACGAAACAAAAGCTTTTACGTCGCGTATATCGTTTTGCTGCTCGAGTTCGCAGACGTTATTTTTCGGACAGAGAGAAGCGACGACCGGAAATACGTCTGCTGTTCGCAGGCTAGGCTGAGACAGAAAGGTACGATAGTGTCCGCTTTTCGGGAACAGGCTTTTAGGAGTCAGAGCAATTAGGCGAGAGCAAAATTCCAGGTCAACTTTGACCCGGGCCAAAACTTCGTTTATTTCTGGTGTGAAAACAGGGTCTATGCTGGTCTGCCGACCGTGTAATTGTACATCCGGGAACTTGAATTAGACGAGAAAAGTCCTGGTCCCCGTTCCTGAAAACCCGATTAGCGCTAATTCAGGGTTAAAAATTTTGTTCCACCTTTTGTAACTACCTTCCTTTGCATTGCTTAGAGTAACATTCCATGTTATCATTAGTGAATCTCGGATTAAAAACACAGCAGTATTTGTAAGCTCAAGTGACTTGTTCTTAGACAATGAAACCTTGCTTGAAATTTGAGGGTTGTCCAATACTGTCGACATGATACGACTGTTGTTGAGTAGGCAAATGCATCTCATTAAGGGGGTTTAGAAATTTTGTTGTTTGTCATGTTAGCAACAGACCCCGTGACTTATGTCGGATCTTTGCTTTAAGAACGACTCTACACACAGTGTCTAGCGTGCTTGTTTCTTCGTGTGGCTTATGCCGGGTCTTTACTCAAAGAGCAATAAATACACAGTGTGCATCGCGCTTGTTCCTCCACGTGGATTATGTAGGATCTTTGCTTAAAGAACGAGTCATACACAGTGTGTAGGGCGCTTGCTCCTTAGAGTGGCTTATGTCGGTTCTTTGCTAAAGAACGTTGAACACACAGTGTGCAGCGCACTTCTTCCTTCGCGTGACCTAGGTCGTATCTTTGCATAAAGAACGATGAATACACAGTGTGCAGCGCGCTTGTTCTTTCGCGTGGCTTATGTCGTATCTTTGCTTAAAGAACGAGTCATACAAAGTGTGTAGGGCTCTTGTTCCTCCGTGAGCGTTGCCATCTGCGCGCCCTTCATTTGTTGCAAAGTTTACCCTTATCTGGTCGTATCCCCTTTTGCTTTCCTCATTACGACGCAGGCATTTAAAAAATAGATTCCATGTTGCCGTGCGTCTGTTCAGTAATAGATCACAGACGATGCATTTTGATTCCAAAATTTGGTAAAAAGCAAAGAAGTGGCACACGAGCCGCAGGCGAATGTGTCACCGGATGACATACACATAAGTTTTGAGTCCCAAACGGTACTTTTTGTCTGGTTCCTCCTTCCTCTATATCTTACTTGTATACAAAAATGTTTTTTACGCGCCCACTTGCTCAGCGAGCAGAATAATCGCAAACTGCGAGTCTCTCGTAAGCGGTGACACACTATTGACGACTTTTGTGAAGATTTCTTGTAGTTTAGGCATTCCGGTAAGTTGTCAAGAACTCTTGTTGTCTCCGTTTCTCCATTCCTTCGTCCTGTAAATAGTTC